GATACTATGTGCCTCTCAAGTCCGGCGCGGGTAATCTGCGCCTGGCGCAGGTACTCTTCCTGCTCCTTAGCTCCTTAAATTTCCAATCCTATGGGTCTTCTATCCTCAATTCTCTAACTTAATACCTGCACAAAAAATGAGGTGTATCAAGGTATTGTTAGATAAATTTTGGGTTAGCTATATTTGCACAAAAAATGAATCAAAAAGAGAACAATTATGTTGCAAGAGTGCATGGGGTGAGTGGAATTGTTCAATAATCCCTATCTAAACATATGTATAAATGAGACTTAACAACTCCCCCAAACTTATAACCTTGCTTACCCTCAAGCAACAGGTAATTGATCTGGCAGATACCAAGCAATGCATGTATGTCAAATTCCTACATTCTAGCTCACTTGGATTTTCTTTTCGAAAGCATGAACCATAGATGAGCTTTCAGTCACAATTATTGCAATGGAACATGACAAGGTGCAAACAAAGGTTTCAAAAGAGATCAAAGAGCTGAGGAAAGTTAATGACCATCGATGAATGCATCCTCACTAGGAAAATGTTTCTCTCTATGCATACTGGTGTATTAAGGTGAGTGTTTCTCTCAAATCTACTACTCACGCCACATAATTCAACTTTGCTCTTCGTTTCCAAATGGAACCAATGGTAATGCAAATGCAGGCACTTATCACAAGGTCTTTATTAGGGCAATTTGGGTCAAACAATAGCAATCTTATGGTTTGTCAAGGATTGAAAGTGTTATGGCTTAAGAGAGCAATTGAGATTTTGGGTACATTACTTTATGTGATGTTGAACATATTTGCTATATATTTTGAGATATTGGTTTAAAGTTCCCTCATATTTTTGTGATCATATACTTGATTTGATGACTAGTATATTTTAATTTGTTATTTGCTTTCGAGGTAATACATGATTATATACGAGTTTGACCTACATGACATTATGTGAGAGAGAAACTTCACGTTATGAGAAGATAACTAGTATTGATCTAGTATATTAATTGATTAAATATTTTAATTGCATAATGAAATGTGAAATTATCTAATACTATGAGATGTTGGAAAGATACCATAAATTGATGCTATTCAACATGGTAGATTTTCCATTGTATTAGAAATACAATGATGATTGTTATTTGATCTTTCATCAAAATGAGACAAAATTCATTCGTGGTTATGTCACTACACTTGGATGTGGTGTAATTACTTTGAGATCAACCAATTAAATAATTGTTGATTTGGAGTTTATTTCTCTTGATATGGTTGATTATGAGGCTGAGTGGTTGAAAAACCTCTTAGTAAATATTCCATTGGGAATATAACATTGAAAATAATGTGGTAAAACAATTGCTTATATAAAATGATTGAATTTATCGATTATGTGAAATTAATAATGGATTTGGCCGATCCTATCACTTAAATCCCTAAGGAATGTAAATATGCATCACATAAAGGCTAGTGGCTTGGGTCCGGCTAAGGACATGTTCTAAATTGTTGTATTGGGTTATGAGAGGGATATCATTGTAAAAATCTCAATTGCTCTCTTAAGCCATAACACTTTCAATCCTTGACAAACCATAAGATTGCTATTGTTTGACCCAAATTGCCCTAATAAAGACCTTGTGATAAGTGCCTGCATTTGCATTACCATTGGTTCCATTTGGAAACGAAGAGCAAAGTTGAATTATGTGGCGTGAGTAGTAGATTTGAGAGAAACACTCACCTTAATACACCACTTTCTTTTGGGTTGTTAAACGAAGCTGAATGGTTTGTTCTACAAGCAGAACAGCCTGTTCTGAAAGCAGAACGGCCCGTTCTGCAAGCAGAACGCCCCGTTCTCCAAGCAGAACGACCTGTTTTGCTTGGAGAACGGGCCGTTCTGATTGCAGAACAGGCCGTTGTACGGGTCGTTCTGCTGGCATTTTTATGTTTTTTTTTTATATTTTTTTTCCTACTTTTTTTCGTCGGTTGTCTTAATGTCCGACGTAAATTTACGTCGGTTTTGAAGATCCGACGTAAAATTTACGTCTCCCGCTTCTACGTCGGTACGTTTTCTGACGTAAAAAGCTGAAAATGTCTGACGTAATACACCTCTTTTGTACTAGTGGTTGGGCTGAGTCGGGAGAAATAAGTGTGTTGAATTGTTGTGCTGTGCTGTGCTGTGCTATGCTGAGCTGGGTGAGATTATAGTCGCTAAGTCAGTGCTGATATTAGCCACATATGTGGTGCTGTTATAGTTGTTAAGTCGGTGTTGTTGTTGCCGCTTTGCGGTGCCGTTATAGCCACTTAAGTGGTTCTGTTATTGCTGCCAAGCAGTGCTGATATTGTCGCATTGCAGTGCTGATACTGTTGAGTGGTATAAGCTGTAGCTGTTGTTTATCATATCGCCATATATTTATATGTTGATTTTTAATTACACTAGCTTACCCTTTTTTTATTTCCATGATGTTTGGACTGCAATGATCATACTATGTATGGGAACAGAGCAGAGATATGTGGATGTCTAGTGGTGAGTCTTCAGCGGACTGGTGAAGCTGATCTCTTTTGCGATTATTTTGTTGTTGAGCTACTTGGGATAGTAGCTTTTGATTGTAATTTTTGTACACTTTAACTCTGTTCAGACTGGATCATGTATATGTATATTCTAGACTCTATATGTATACAGTTGTTCTTTTCTGTACGGTGTTTCTAGTGTGCTGTGTCGTGTGTAGTGACCAGCCAGGTCGTTACACTGACGAGCAGTCTGCCGACATCACACAACAACCCCCAGTCCAGTATGATGGTCAAATGCTTTCCCAAATATGGACTAGCATTCAAGGGTTACAAGAAGGATTAAATAATTTGACCATTAATGTTAACACAGGTTTCGATCGAGTACATAACAGGCTTGATGACCTTGAACAAAAATTTGATGACTTTCAGCGTTCATTTGAATAAAATACGTTATCTTATTTTCTTTATTATTATTGTAATTTAAATATGTTTTATTTACTTGCAACATCTTTCATTTCTATTATTTTGTGTCATATTTAATTATTGTTTACTTAATTGATGACTGAATTGTATTTTCTGTTCCCTTTTACAAATATGTTATTACTCATCTACTTTGTAATGTTAAATTTTTTTAATTTTTTAATTGGTAAAAATTAACTTGTACAATTAACAAATGTATCTTCATTTCATTCTAATTTATGTCAATAATTTATCAGTTTTTTTAATTTATTAATTAACTTTCAAAAATTTCATTGTACATTTTTTTTATATTAAGAAAATTCTATTATTTAAATATTGACATCAAAAAGTGGGAATATAAAAAAAAAAGTAATACATGTTTATAAAATTAAAATAATAACACTTTCATAAACATTAATAAAATAATGTTAGAAAATATAATTATCATAATATATTTTGTTATTATTATTTATTATTATAAATATTATTATTATTATCATTATTATTAATATTATTATTATTTATTATAATTAGTATCATTATTATTTATTATGATTCTTATTATTTTTCTAATATTTATTATTATTCTTATCATTATTTATTATTTTTTTAATAAATTATACCTATTAATATAATTTTATTGTAATTATTATTATTTACAATAAATAATATTATACTCATTTTTAATCCAACGGTAAAAGTGTAAATTATATATTCATCTATTAAATTTTTAATTTTTATCTATCATTAAATTTAAAACAAATATTTAAATTAAATTATTTTTAAATTAAGATTTTATATTTATTTTTTTAGTTAAAATTTTTATATTTATCTTTTAATTATAATAATTATAAACTTTTTTTTTAACCTAAGGGCAAAATAGTAATCTTACAAAATTATTAATTAAAAATTTTATTTTTATCTATCACATTAATCAATTCACTCACAAACTTTCACAAACTTTCTCTACACTTTCCACTCACTTTCCCTTAATCCAAACAACCTCACTTTCCTTTCAAATCCTTCCTTTTTCACTCCCCCTTTTCCATCCTCAAATCCAAACAAAGCCTAAATATTTAATACAAATATCAAAATTCAAACTTGAGATTATTAATTAAAATAAAATAATTTAGCATCAGTTAATTTACGCACTAATACTTTTAATGATTTAATTAATAAGAACATGACAATTTTTTTAATACTCTTGAAAGCTAGCATTAAATATTTATAAGAAAAAATTTGTCTTCATAATAATCTTATTTTTACATAATTTTAAATATATATATATATATATATATATATATTCTTTTTTCATCAAAGATTCAATTTGTTTTTCTTTTTTGGATAATAATAATTTATATTATTAATAAGAGAATAACTCAATTTGATGTACATATTACTTTATACAACACCTCTCAACTTATAACTCTCAAATTATTATTTCTCTATCATTTAAAAAAATTATTCTTATAACTACACACCTATTCAAAAACTTTATAATAATCAATCACTTTTATTTTTTAAAATGTACAAATGTATGAATGTCTTTTTTATGCTAATAATAATAATAATAATAATAATAAATAAATAAATAAATAAATAAATAAATAAATAAAGAGAAGGGTTTTGTCGTTAATTCTAAAAGTAAGTATATCTAAACTTACTCAGTTCAATAATTCATGTTATACATCAAAATTTAACTATCTAATTATTGAATTCTTAATGCATAGATCAAGTTTGTAAATTTATTAAAAATTTAAAAATCAATTGATACTTTACTTTATTAATTCAAATTAACATATAAAATATAAATTATTAAATAAAATAAATTTAAATAGACTTACTTTTTTTTTCTTTCCTGAAATATCTACCGTCGAAATAGACTTACTTTTTGAATAAACGAATTTCTCCTCGTAAATAAATAAATAAGGAAAGAATTTTATGATAAAAGATAAAATAAAAACCCTAGATAAAAATAATTAAATAAAAAGAAATTTTAATTAAAGATGCGGAGGAGTCATTTTGTTGAACGAATTGGCGGATTAGTGAGGTGGGCTGAAATGTCTACTCCGCTCTATGGGCTGGCTGGCCGGCCTACAACAACGGCCCACTTTCCCGCTCTCACCTTCGTGCTTCCCCGATCATCATCCTCCATTTCACCAAAACCCTAAACCCCCAAAATGCGAGCCTTCGCTTCTCGAACCTCCACCTTCTTCTTCAACCGCAACCTCCTACCGATCAACCCCTACCGACCAATGTCCCAATCCACCGCAATCCCCAAGAAGCAGCTCAGAGTTCGCGACCACGGCTACGACAACTACATGGAAGTCGAGAAGAAAACCCGCAAGGTCCTCAAAATCCAGGCCCTCATCCTCTCTCAGCCCACCCAATCGCTCCCTATCTCGCGCCTCGAGACCCTCGCCCGCCGCGCCGGCCTCACGCGCCACGACGCCGGCGCGTTCATCCTCAAGTTCCCCCACGTGTTCGAAATCTTCGAGCACCCCGTGCAGCGCATCCTCTTCTGCCGCCTCACCCGCAAGGCCATCCTCCAGATCCAGCAAGAGCGCCACGCGCTCTTAGAACAGATTCCACGCGCCGTCACGCGCCTCCGGAAGCTCCTCATGATGTCCAACGAAGGCCGCCTCCGCCTCGAGCACGTGCGAATCGCACGCGCCGCGCTTGGCCTCCCCGACGACTTCGAATTCTCGGTGGTTCTGAGTTATCCCCAATATTTTCGCTTGGTTGATGCTGAGTTGACTAGGAATAAGTACATTGAGATTGTGGAGAGAGACCCTAGGTTGAGAACATGCGCAATTGAGGAGGTTAGGGAGAGGGTTTATAGACTTAGAGGTGGTGATGCTGAGGATGTTAGGTTTTCTTTTGTGGTTGATTTTCCACCTGGTTTTAAGATTAAAAAGTATTTTAGGATTGCAATGTGGAAGTGGCAGAGGCTTCCCTATTGGTCCCCTTATGAGGATGTTTCTGGGTATGATTTGAGGTCCATTGAGGCCCAGAAGAGGATGGAGAAGCGGGCTGTTGCCACCATTCATGAGTTGTTGTCGTTGACCGTGGAGAAGAAGATCACGCTGGAGCGGATTGCGCATTTCCGGATGGCGATGAACCTGCCCAAGAGGTTGAAGGATTTTCTGCTGCAGCATCAGGGGATTTTCTATGTCTCCACCAGGGGGAATCAGGGGAAGCTCCACACGGTTTTCCTCAGGGAGGCGTATCGGAAGGGCGAGCTGGTTGAGCCGAATGAGTTGTATTTGGCACGGAGGAAGCTGGCTGAGCTTGTCCTGTTGAGCCCCCGGAAAGCTAAGGTTGATAGGGAGTTGGTTGGGTACCGGAGAAGCAGGTTTGAGGATGAAATGGGGCAGGTGACAAGGGCATATGTCGAGGATGCTTGTGAGGACTTTAAGGGTGAAGATGGTGTAGGGCAAGATGGGGATGAAGAGGATGATTTGACGTCAGATATAGGTTCTGATGTTGATTTGGGAGATGATGATGATGATGATTGTGTGGATACTGTTTCATCGCAAAGGACTTCTTAGCTGAGTATTTGGGGAATGTACTTGAGCTGTACATTTCTTCAGTTTTGCAATCGAGAAGGTTCTTGATATAGTTTCAAATTCTGAAATTTCAAAGCAGGTAGATATGATGGAGTTAAGGGTTCTTCTGTTTTTAGGCCTTCTTAACTGAATTAAAAAAATTTCCTATGTGATTAACCAACGTTATCTTTAGTGACAAACTAATCACGTTCATTTGTTTTGCTTAATATGCTGATCTGGCACTGAACTTTTTGCATGGAAATCCTTTTGGTGACTGGCCATCTGAGTGTCCTCATGGTTGGACAAGATGTCTTAAGAAGGCTAGGTTGGTTGATTTGAATTAGTGATTAATAAAAATAATTATTTGCTGAAGCAAGTTGGATCTTGATAATATTGTTTTTATCACAAGTCTTGGTTGTTTCAATATTAATTTCACGGTTTGGACTAGGCTTGATATGATTGACTAAAATTACCAGAGCCTATTTGCTTGGGAGTTGATGAGTTAGTTAAATATATAATTTGGGATCTATTTAAATAAACTTCTTCAGAAACACTCATGAGAGAAAAAAAAAATATGAAAGAAAAATAAAATAAGTTTTTCCATAAGCTAAAACTAGTTTATACATAAACTAATTTGTAAGTTTTTAGAGAAGCTATATTATTGAGTTTTACAAATTTATTTATAAGTTAATTTTAGCTTTTACAAAAGTTTGTTTCATTTTTCCTCCTAGAAGTGTTTCTAGAAAAATTTATCTAAAAAAACCCTTAATCAAAGATGTTTGTGTAGTTACAATGGTTTGATTCTTTATTCTTATTGTGTTCCTTTTCTATTGCAGGTTCAAGGGATGATTAGTTAAGTTTTTTCCTATTTTTCTCACCCTTGCTCATTCCACGTCCTATTGTACTAATTGATTTGGGTACTTTCAATTTTCTACCTTTTTCTTACACTTGCTCATTCTTGCACTTTCAATATTTGTTTTATTTTTCTTATTTTATTACACTATAATGCCTCTGTGCCATTGATTCATCTGGATGCTTTCAATTTTCTCTCTTTTTTCAACTCGGTATGTTCTTAATGTTTACATTATGTAGTATGTAATTTTTTTTAATATCTATTACTATTCTTTTCTTTTTAATTATTCATGGATTTTTTATGGCTATCAAATGGGTAAATCCATTTTGCTATTGCTTATCTATTACTATTCAAGTGATACATCAGATAACTAATATTTGCAGATTGGTTATCTATAACTATTCAAGCGGACTCTCCATCTGAATTCTTAGTGGTTGCTGAAGTCTTTCACCTCCGCTTTGTACCTTAGGTTCTTGGTAATATCTGGTCAAATTGAGGCAAGTTTGAACCTTAGAAGATTGTTTCCTTTTAGCTATTGATTAATGTTATTTTTCTACTCGAGCACTTGTATTTCTTTGATTATTCAGAGAGGAAGAATCATTGAAACTGAAGTTAAATTTGAGAAGCACTTGGGAGGAGTACATGTGAAAGCTGCTATGATTAAACTGTCAAAGTCTGATAGAGGTGATGGATCTGATACAGTAAAACTTACAGATGTGGACTGGCTTAGATTCAACTGGCCATATAAGTTATCAGTTGAATGATGTGGACAAAGAGATTTTAAGGATTGGGGTGCTTGTGCATCTCAGAACAAAGCCAGTGATGGATCAAGTAAAGATCAATTGTAGATACATCTACTCTTTGATCAAATGCTTCTTGGTCTGACGTTAAAGTTATGGTGCAAAATGGCTCAATTGATGTGAAGACAAAATTAAAAGAGATTTTAGCATTGAAGTTATATGTACGAAGTACATTCTGTAAAATTGGCTCACTCCAACTCTAACAAAATCAAGCGCCTTATCTAACAATTATAATATTTGCTTCTTATTTACAATGAAACTGTCCAGGATGTACACTTTTTGTGTTTTCTTCGTGTTAAGAGTCCCTGAATTGAAATAATTTTGTAACTTGGTAGTTTGAGTAAAGGTCACTTGTTTCCTTCTTAGAAGGTGCTTTCATATTTTGATTGTTAATTTACTAATGATAAAGACGAATTTGAAGGTTCCATGATAGTATGTTGTGAACATACTGAAGAACACTAAAGTTGACGATCTGGATCACTAGAGACCTCAACCATGCAAGATCTTGGTTGTGCGCTGTATTGTACGTGGGATGCATATCACTGAAGCGTTAATCATAAAATTAATGTCCATTGTCCGTACGGGGGTGAAAAGGGAATAAGGAATAGATAGGAATGAGAAAAGAAGAAAGAGTTATAGGCAAGGGACTCGGGCAAGGAAATGAACAACCATTTTTTTTATATTCAAAATTTTAAATAAACAGAACAATTAATAAAAGGGCAAATTTGCATGTTGGGATTAGGATAGCATCATGGATCAACATGTTTAGACTTGGATCATTATGCAAGTGTGCATCATTTACGGCGACATAGGCTCAAGCCAATCCAAATTGTTCTGCAAACTTGAGGCCAAAAATACCTGCACACTTGTTGATATCAATGCTTCATATACTCAAAGACTTCCTAACATATTGTAACATCTCACCTTAGAGGTTCAAGAATATTCAGAGCGTGTTTGGAAAATCGTTCTTTTAACAAAAATGTAAAAACACATTTTGCAAAGCATCAAAATACAAAATAATTATTTCTCTTTTTTATTCAATGGACGTTTGTAAAATTTTAACAATAAAACAAACACACACTTAATGGTTAAAAAGATCCATGTTATGGATAATTTATCTTATAATTAAGTTTAATTATCTTAAATATGACTAATCAACATTCAAATCCTGTGAGAGAATGTTTGAATATCAGTTTAAAATTACGTTCAATAGAAAAATATGTATTTTAATACAAAAAAGATAAAAGTTTGATAATTTTATTTATTTATTTATTTTTATTTTAATTCATTTGATTCTCAAATATACTCTAAATATATCAAAAGTAGTTATTTCAAGTGGTTTGATTCTTGTATTCCTTAATCATAAATCAGAGTTTGATCCTTATTTTAGATATAAAATTGCGATTGAAAGTATTATTTTACTTCTACAAGGATTGACATGGTGAAAAAAAAGTATACTTTTTTATATATATACATATAAAAAGAAAACCTATAAATACAACTTCTCAATAATTAGCAAGTAGTTTACCTTCTTCTAATATTGTTATTTAGATTTGAGCTACTGTTTCCATTTTCATCTTATCTCGATATAGCTTCATCCTCATCTTTTCCGACTAGAAGTAAATTCAATGAGCCTTGAGCTATTAGTTAAGTAAAATTGACAAATAGTTAACACCACAAAAAAATAGAGATTTTGACATTGGGACAAAAATGTAATTAACTGAACCCCTTTTTACATTTATTTATTTATTTATTTTGAGGGCGAAATATATTAAAATTAACACTTTAATATGTTATATTAATCTATTATATTAATATTTTATCTAGTTATTTTAGTAAATATTTTTGGTTATCTTCTTAACCGTTTTTTATTTTTTCTATTTTAAGCTAATTCTAGCTTTTGTATTTAATTATAATGATTGTAAATTTTCTTCTCTATGATTTTTATGAATTCAAAATGCTAATAAAATACGCACTGGCCATATTTTTGAATTGCTCTGTTTAATTTAATATGTGCAAGCACTGGGGCAGGATTAATGTTTTCTTTTTTGTAATTTTTACACTCTTACATCTATATATAGATGACATGTAAACCCTTTGCATTTGCAACTGCATCAAGTCATTGTCTTTTGTCAAAATCTCAAAATATCGTGACTGCTTTTCATCCAGGGCCATATTATCCGAGAGTATTTTGGATAAACTTTTTTCAGAAACAATTGTAAGAAGAAAAAAAAAATCAAAATAACTTTTTTTATAAACTAAAATTAACTTACATATAAGTTAAATATAAGATTTTAGATAAACTAATAAAAGAGAACTTCTGCATATTAATTTTTACATAAACTAATTTTAAAGAGACATTTATTTTATTTTTCTTTTATATTTTTTCTCTATTGAAAGTACTTCTGAATAAAAACAAGTTGCACAATGTGTATCATGGCAGAAACATTACTTTATTTGTTGGGGGTTGAGATATTTAGTATGGAATATGATACTTAAATACACTATTCAGTCGTCATCTAAATTCCCCGCTACCTGTGTGATTTGTTTTGTGAATTGGCTGAAGTTTTGCTTATTGGTCACGCTTCATTTGAGAGAAAGGTAATGCTGAATAAAATGTATGTGACATTTCAATATTATTAACAAACACAGCAATAATTTGAAAACTGTGATTACGTGTCTCATGAAGATTGATTAGAACCATGGTCCCAAGCCATGCATGTAATTTTCTCTTTGCAGAGGAACTCAACTAATCCATTGTTAGATGTTTGAGCATTAAAAAGTATAAGCACATTGTCTATATATACTCTATACATACAAATACAATGAACCAAAATCTTGAAAGAATAATGAAAGAGATAACAATTGACAAAGCTATATATTTCTTTAGCTATGCCTTTAAGCACTGTATTCATTCAATATCAATCGATCTGATGGATGTAGCCTTAAGACTGACCAGCATAAGCTCGTGGCATGCCTTAGTAAATGACACTATTTGGTGGTGTTATTATATATGTAACCTTTTCTTTACTTCAATCCCAGAAATCAACCATTTCATGAGGTGTTTTTGGCTCTAAAACCTCCCAAAAGTCGTTGTTTCTTTCCATTTTTCTGTTTCTGGTTGACTAATATTGAATACCTATTGATTTCTTACCCTTCTAGGTTTATGATAGGACATAAAATTCAAATAAAAAAATGCAGTACACAAACCGTAGCGCGTCATTCATCATCAATTTGCATGTTATTTATAATATAATTTAGCTGATTGAATTCTGTAAGAAATTCAAAACAAGTGGACACCTTTTTTTATTGCGTTACGCAAGGCATGAAAGATACCATTATCATTTGACAAGTGAAATAATCAGTGCATATTATATATATCTATAACCAAAATGTGGACTTACATAATGTTTGTTAATCATGCATGAAGCTGAAACAAAATTAGCTTGCTGAAAGAGAAAGATATGGGCACAATCATTCGAAATTAAACGTATCATAAAGTCAGATATTTTGTTGGAAATTTTGGTGACAACTAGTGGATATGAGACCATCAAATCTAACCAGAAGATAATGAATTAAAATTTTTAACAAAAACTTATCAATAAAATTAATAAAAACTTTGTATCAATAATATAATTATATAATATAAGAAAAACCATTTTTGGAAGTCGATGTTTGGCTCAACGTACAAAGATAATATATAGGCCATGTTGTAATTAATTATTGAGCCATGAGTCATGACTGAAACTGGATCCATCACTAAACGACGCATTTTAAAAGTTTTGAGAGTTGTTACTCTGAATGAGAAAAAGATTATAAAAGGGTCTCAAAAAGGTTTTTGATAAGATCACCGAATGACACAATGCTTATCTTGATACACTAGCTATAATTTGAGTAATTATTGTTTCGATCCTTTTAAGATTTCATGCATATCCTCAATTTGATAATTAGTCTTTGCCTATATCGAGAGCTTATATTATGAATTAATTTGACATTCTAGTCATATCTGTGTTTTTTCCTTCATTAAATTGAAAAACAATGACAACAGTATTAATTCCAGTCCTTAATTGATTTTAATGAAACATATTTATTTTTACATTAATTCCCTGAAACCTAATTAACACTATCCTTGACAGATTTTGAGCGAATTTTAGTGTAAACTGTAAAGATATAGTACCAATTCCGTTTGCTTGTAGTGGTAGAGATACTCTTTTATCAATTTATCTAGTTAATTCAACTAATGTTTTGCATGTTTTTCTCATCCAACGAAAAGAAATAATGTACGTAGAGGGAAAAAAAAATCGTTGCAATTTGCCTACTTGTTATATAAATAATGTGTGTATGTTTTGGAACTCACAATTGCCCTTAATTTCGGTGGTTAAGACAAACAAACATTGGTATTTTTTAAAATTAATTCGGATTTGATATAGAGATCACTAAAGAAACAATATTTTAACCATGTTGCATTATTGCATGCTTCCTATAGATGCACAAGAGAGTCAACATTCCACGTTGTCTTTGAGCTTTGACAAATGTCTTTATGTTAAATTTTCTTTGTCTAAGAGCCCAAGAATATCACTTAGTTGAAAGTAGTAGTAGTGGTAATAGTAGTAGTATTTGTAAATTTAATATAATAAATTATATGACTATACAATTATTAGCGTAATAAATCCTAAAATTTTCTAATAACGGTTATAATTTTCTTTTCATAAACATAATGTTTCAAAATTAATAATTAAAAATTAACGTGACTTATGTTAATCAAATATTATATAATTTGAATATATATGTACTACATATTTATCAGTAAAAATATAAACTAATGTATATTTGATATTAATTAAAACTTTTTTTGTGTTTACATTTAAAACAACTAATGTTAAGCAATGATAATATAATTATTATAAGCGTTGACATATTTAATAATTTTTAGAAGCGATACAATAATATAAATTGAAACAATATATTATTATAATTTTTATTAATAAAAAGATAAGTTGACGTATTTAATCATTCGTATGTATTGGATCCAAATTTCACATGTAAATATATAGTTACCTACTAACCCACAGGCTAAAATTAGATATCATAATGAAAATATCGAATAATTTGTGTAAAATCTTAGATTCAAAGTTTGCATTATCGCTATTGTAGAATAAAATATATATATATATATATATATATATATATATATTGAT